ATGTAAACTGAAAAAGAAAAGAATTAAAAAAGGAAAAAAAACACTTTCCTATCCTGTTAGTTTTGAACAGTGTTTATCACTGCAAGTGGAAGCAAATTAGGACATGCTCTTAAACAATGAGCCATCTCTCTATGCTTCTATACAATTTCCTAGATAATTATTTCCTATATATTCATAGGCGACTGTATAGGAAACTGTCCCAATTATCACAAAAGAGAAATGTACAGTTTAGAAAATGGATGTAAAAATGTAACAGTGCATCAGATGAATTTCACAGGAGAATTGAGAGTATAAATTTTACAGGTTTACAAAATTGATACATATCTATTAGACAGAGGAAGACCAGGCAATGTAGATTTTCCCAAAGAGTCACTTTTATGGTACCAGAGAACATCACATGACAGTTAAATTTATTTATTTCCATATATATTAGGTGTCTTAGGTGTTGTGTGCTTTAGTTCTCTAGGAAGGATACTTGATTGTATTTTTAACCTTCTTACAGAAGACTGGATACATAGAACACCTACAGTAAGATGGTAAATTACAGTGAAAACTTATGTATTTGAGAACAGATTTACATATGTGGGATAATTTCTCTAAACATTGAATTGGGTCATTGTTTTTTCCATGTTCCTTGATTCAAAGTCTTGAGAAGTGTAATGCTCTTTAAATTTGATCTCAAGTTGTTTGTCACATCAGAGATAAAGAACTTGAGAGAAGTGACCATGAGATACTAGGTTGTGGAAAAGATTCTAATGGTAGACAGCCAGGATAAACAATACTTTTTAAGGCAAAGCAAGTACTTTCAGGGTTTTTTTAGCAGCTTAGCATCCTCGCCATATGCATCTTTTCTCAAATTTGGAAAGGAAACCACTGCAAATGGCAGTTTGCATAAACACTGCTGCTTTGATTCTCCTTTAGGCACCTGGAAATCCATCTGTCTTTTCCCTGTTGCTTGACTATATTTTAAAAGGTGACTATGGTGATGCACTCCCTTGCATGTAGAACTTGAAGTGTGAAGTGCCTTCAGAGTGATCTCTGCAAAAATGTATTTTAACTCACATTTGATAACAACCCTGAAGAAAAGTTTACTGGCAGAAAGGGGAATCGCTGTACGTTTGGTGGGTGATGTACTTGATGAGTACAAAGGTTTCCCTAAACATATATATTGAAGGTAGAGAAGGATGTTTTGTGTGCAGACAGCACGTATGTAAAGGCTCTAAGGCAGGGTAGAGTTTGGCACTTCACAGGTCCTGAGTGAGAACAGTGTGACTACATCAAGTGTAAGTATGTGATGTGAGTGAGATGTGGAGAAGCAGACAGTCCCTTCACTATGACAGACTTGTAGATTATGCAAGATATGTTTCATCTACCCTGCTTTTTATGCATCATAGATTGTGGTAAAGTAACTGTTTGTGTGCCATTTTTTAATCTAAAGTATTAAGTTCTTATAAGACTTGCACATACAAACAAAGACAGAGAGAGAGACATGTTGATTCTGTCTTTAAACATGTCTAAATATTCCAATATTCAGTTAAGAAACAATTGAAAGTAGAGTTTCCCAAAACAATATAAGCACTATACATTTAAAGGAAACCAGTGATTGATGAATGAAATAATCATTAAATTTTTGTAGATAATTTATTGAACCGGTAGTTTATTTAACATTCTAGGATGTCAGTTCATTAATCTCTATTTATGTTGCTGCTTGTGTTTTAGTCATATTCCAGGCCACCTTTAACTCAACACAAATAATCTAAGCTTTCATAAGATTTGTATTATATAGCAGTAGAATTCCCAAAATCATTTTTTAAAATTTAATTCTCTATAATCCACATCTTTGGTTGGAAATCTATTTTTTGTGTGTGTTTGTTTATTTCTTTGGGTGATTAGAGGTTGGTTGACTGTGACCTGTCTGTTCCTGAGAGATTTATAAGTCACTAAGATAATTCCTCACATCCCAGTAGAGATGTCACTGGGGTGTATGTTGGCTGTAGACCATCCCTGCAGTGAAGAATGTCAGGTGTGAAGAACTCCTATTCATGAGAAAGGAGGGTAGTCAGTGCTTAACGGATGACACACCTTGCATTTCATGGCTTATGTTGGCTTTGGTATCTGAGTGTTTTTTAATGATTTGGAAAAGTTCTTATATGTGCAAAAAAAGTTTGCACTATCAAAATGGTATTCCATTTACAAGAAAATGAGGGGAAATTGTAAAAATACTCATATTTTTTCTCTGTGATAATGAAAAATCCTCTAATGCTTCTATCCTTTGAGTCAAGAAATGTATTTTCCATTAAACTTGTCTGTCATATATTAGAAAGGTTGGTAAAAATAAATTCTTATCTTATAAGGAGTTTGAGGGACAAGGTACAAAGACAATTCACTACAGTAGACTGCAGTTAAATGTTTTCAGTACTAGTTCATACTCTCAAATCCTCTGGTCTTTGAGAATACTATTACTACAACATTTATTATTTCTGCTGTTATTTTTATGGGAACTCATTTATTTTAGTTATCGATTGAGAAAGGTCCATGTGTCTCAATTTAGTATTACATGAGAGAGACAGCTGAGACTTCATGCGAGAATGCTTGTGCTTTTCTCAACATTGGAACATTTTCCATCCAATATGCTTATACACTTGGGTGACTTAAGGACAATGATGTTCAGTTTTTAAAAAATAATATTTACAATATTAATTATGCTATTGACTTATTAAATATAAGCCATGTTCTCTAACCAGTCAGTAAAGCAATGGTCAAGATCATAAACGTAGGGACTGGCAGTGTGAGATGTGCTCCTGAGGACCAGGACAGCTCAGCAGCCTATTGCTAACAGTCCCCATCCAATTTGTATTCTCTGTGTTCTTATAATAAGTCTTCTTCTTCTTGCATAAGTACAATAGCCTTGGTCTCTCATTTGTAATTATTAATTGGAATCAACTAGTAAGAAGGGAAAAGCTGAGGATAGCCTCCTGAGTCAATGACAACATTCAGTTGTCACAACTTAAGCCACTACCACTTGCTGGGGATTCTGGATTTTCACAATTGAGAAAAAATGTTAGCATTCTCTCTTCTAACTGATGAAGTATAAAATGGGTAGCTAATTTTATCTTTTATGTGTAATTCTCAATCTGACTCATGTTAAATACTTGACAGTTGCAGAGCTATCCAGTACACACACACACACACACACACACACACACACACACACACACACCTATGAGTATATCTATGCATCCATCCATATCTATTTATATATCCATTCATATCTATCTGTCTATCTGTCTATCTATCTATCTGTTCTGAATTGCATGACATAAGCACTAGTAACCTACTTTGGGAATGTACAAAGGGCTGCCCTGATTCTTGCTACTAAATTCAGACAAAGATACAGAAAGTATTATTTTCTCAGTTATTTTACAAAACTCAGATTACTTAGAGCAAAGTAATTTAAATTCTGTATTATATGATTTTGTATAACAATTGTCTATTTATATTCGTATGTATAAATTACAAATATCATCTAAGGTGAGAAGATAGTTTTTACTATTATAATCTTGTATCTGTAATTGAACTATCCATAAGCATGAATAGCATACTTGGTACCATACCATTACCATGCTGATCTTTCCAGTGTGTCAATATTTTCAAATTAGGACAAGTAGGAAGTAGGTGTAGCTGTATCTTCATTGTTTGTCTGAGGAAGTTGAGGTAGCAGTAAATTGCTTTGTATTTAAAGCTGATTGTAAGAGTTTTTTCCAGATAACAACACAGTGCACATGTATGTAAATATAACTAGTATTTTCATAGCTCTTATGTCTCTGAAAGTTTGTAATGGGTGTCTATTTTGTTACTAGACTGTCATTCACCCCTGGGAAAATATCAATTACCAGTTTAGAAAACACAGTTTTTCATGCAGGCTCTGTATGACTCTTTCCCAGTTACCTTCCCAGGTTCTACAGGTAGGGATTTGTAAACTTTACTGGGGGAAGATGGGAAAATTATAGGAGCATGAGCAACTTCTTAACAGATGCAACGTCACCCACAGGTAGCACTCAGTGGAGTGAGGAGTGACTTAAAGGACAGTTACAATTGAAATTATTGCACATATTAACCAAAAAGGGTAAACTATAGAGCATTAACAAGACAAAGCAGGTTACTGAGGTTTTAGGACATCACATTATGAGATGGAAATAAACGAAGAAATAAATGAAACCAAGGCCTGCTTAGCATGGCTTGTTGTCATACTCTGCTATATCTCAGGACTGGGGCATGGGAATTGTCTTCACAAGTCAGCTTCCATCTCTCTGGTAGAGAAAGAAAGAGGGACCTTTTGAAATCTGGGTCTGATTTCAGGCTATGTAGCAGGGGTGGGGGCAGTGTGGAGGAGGGTACTTTTCTTGAATATTCTTTTTGTCAGTTGCCTTCAGGTAAACATGGGCCACATACTAGACTGACAGTTTTTCAGGCATGACAGTTTTCTTCCTTTCCATGCCATTGCCACTGTGGAATTACACATTTTCCATTTATGCCACTGTTTCAACATAAAATCCTATGTATGCTGCCTTTCTAAATAAAATTGTTATTGGTTGATTTAACAATTTTAATCAATAGCTATTAAACTAATTTCTTATAATTTGCCTTTGAGTATTTTCATTCAAGTTAATATAAGCATATCATCAGAAACTTTGGATTTGAAATGTGTCTTCTGGTGATTTTTATTGTCTCAACATTTGTAAGTGGTTTAAATAAGTACCATGTATAACTGAAATACTGATTAAGGAAGTATAGACTAAAACTGTAATTGTCATGGAATAGTATCACTAAATATGCAATTCGTAATTTCTGCTGTAGTTCTGAGTACTTAAAAGACTAATATAAGAAAATGACAAAGTTCCCAGGAAATATTTCGTGTCATAATAACATTGATTGACATGGGAGGAAATGCAGCTTTAAGCACACCTCATTGTAAATTTTTTTATCTTGTTTCTTCTTAGGAGCCTTTCCCTGAAAATAGCAAAAGACATTGATCAAGAAGCCCGGTGTTCCCATGTCAGCCGAATGCCCAACAGCCCCTCTGCAGATTGGCCCCTGCTGGGAGTGGAGGAAAATGGAGGTATAGATTCCCTGCCATTCAGACTGATGCTACAGGAGTGCACGGCAGTGAAGACACTGTTACTAAAGATGAAGAGAGTGCTTCAAGAGGTAGGACCATTATGCAGTTAGTGCTTGCCCCTGCAATAAGTCTGTAGACCTGCTTAGGCCCTGTGCAGTCACCAATGTGGGGCATTGAACATAGGTCAAGTGTTCTGAGCCTTAGTTTTCCTCGCGTGCCAGATGAATAGCTTCAAGTTCTGGTGTACAAATAGGTACTCAGAAATTCTCCTATGGAGAAGAAAGTTGAAGTCAAACCTTCCCTAACGTGTCAGGCAAGGAGAAATGGGCATCAGCTCTGCTGTAATCCATTTATGTCACTGTCACGAGATTGCGGAATCTACTGTGTTTTCTTTGCTTTGATTTTACTGGAGAATTATCTATATAGTATTAGAAAGGCAGGGTTTTGAAAGTGATTTTGTTCTGGTCGTAATCATCCCAGTTTACCTCAGTCTGCAGGTGTTAATGAAATATCTAGTGAATGCATTTGCCCTCTGACAGTCTCTTATGAATTTTTTCACACCTACTGGTTTTATGTGATGAAAGTCCCCTGAAACAATGTCACTACATCTACCTCACTTATAGTGATCAGTCATACTGGAGTATCTTTACTTCAGAAACTAGAAAATACTGTGTTGCTTCCATCATAAAGCTCCCAGTAAAGTCTCAATTATCATATGTAAGTATCATAGTACTGTCCTATTGTAATGTTATTAGCACAATGCCTAATTACCATATGGGTATCGGGGGGGGGCTTCTGTAAGGAACTGTGTCAAGGGTCACATGGTCTTATTAGAGATAAGTCAGGCATCTAGGCATAGGGACAGTCTCCAAATAAGGTCAGATAGAGAACCTGGAGACTTCCACAGGGATGGGCGTGGGGGAATCATCCATGTTGCTGAGCTTTTAAAGACCTTCCAGGCCACGGTAGACTACAACCTCCAACCAGCAGGGCTTTCCAGCATTTTCCCATTTTGTTTTTGAGGGAGAATCTCATGCAGATTTTTCTGACTTCAAGCTGAGTGTTCCATGAAATACAATTTAGATTCACTTCTCTAGTGCTAGGATTATGAGTTTGCACCACCATGCTTGGGTGTTATGCAGATATTTTAATTACTATTTTCAGTAATTGCTATTTTATAGCATTAATCACAAAAATATTCCCAGTTTATCGGTTTCCTGCTTCTCCCTATGATAACTGTTAGATTGGGATTGGTGAACATAAAGTGAAAACAGAAGAGAGCTAACAGCATCTCCAGAAGCAGTATTGTTCTTTAACTGAAGGGCTACAGTTTTTATAGAAATGAGACTCTAGCACATGAGGTAGGGATCTTGGGATTTTATAGAATGGAAAAAGGGAAGATTGGGTATGGAAAGGGTCTACCTATAGGTCAGTACTTCTGTAATAGAAGTGCTGGACACCAGAGAGATTGGTATGTGGATCTGATCAGAAGCTCCCACAGATGTCAGTCAAGTTAACTTTCCAGTTCAGAGCTTCTCAGTTCACTGAGCTCTTTAGGCCTTTAATAACTATACGACCTCTCCTTAAAATATCATCAGTATAAACTAATTTCTAGAAGCATAAGACACAATCAGAAGTTAGTCTGGGTTTAAATCTAATGAAAATAAATGAACAAATTGAATTATGTGTCTTAATTAAGTTTTACTTTGATAACCCCTTTTATGTTGGTCCCTCTTGAAACATGTCTGTTATTTAGTGGAGATATATACTCTTGTGACATTTTCTTACTTGGGTAAATAAAAGCTGAATTTATTTTCCTAATGACCAAATCATACATTCTTCCTTCATTGGGAAGATACTCTGTGTGAAGCATTTGGGAAGGTTCAGAAATAACCAAAAGGTCACAGATGTCTTTGGCCAAACAATTCAAGATGACCTGACACTTTCATGCAGTGAGCCACAAGGTTGTTTCCCAAGTGTCTACATTTCCTTACCACTGTGGGACATGAGTAGGACTTCCCATGGTACGTTCCCTCAGGATTTGAAATGTGTGATCTTCCAAATTACCTTGTCTACAGAGTCAACATTCTCTGTTCCATTTGCATGAATATGAACACTATTCTTTGGTTCCAATGGTGATACTTTAAAATTTTTACATTACTTTTTGTGTTGTTATCATTTCTCTTTAATTTTACATATGTGAGTTCTTTGTCTGCATGTGTGTGTGTGCGCCAAATATGTACCTGATGCCAGTGGTCAGAAGAATGCATTAGATCTTCTGAAAGTGGAATTAATGATGCTGTAAAATTAATAATAATGCGGGTGCTGGGAACCATACTCAGTTCCTCAGCAAGAGTAACAAACGTTCAGAATCACTGAGCCATCTCCCCAGCCCTATTATTTACTTTTTATTTACATGTTTTATTCCAAATCATATTTTTTCAAAATCTTTTATTTGCAAACTGCACTGAACAATATCAGTTAAGTGCTAAATCCTACTAGCACATTCGTGATTGCTTCCTTTTATTTTGTCTTTAATGGACATTTGTTATTCCATCTCCTTGGGTTTAATAAAATGTTGATCACATTATATATTTTGGAAGTTAGCAATTCTTACACATTTTAAGCATATACATAGTTAACTGATCTAGCTTTGTGAATCATGTTTGTTATGCTAGACTATTACATGAATTTCGATTGAATGTAATTCTTAAAGTGAGCACAGCAGTGAGATTAGATACAGCCCTGTGCTGCTGGTGATTGCCCTCCTGATGGGATCAGCTATGCATGTGAGCAGCAGCTATAGATCTAGGCTGAAATCAGTTTCACAAGCCTCAGTGCTGAGTGCCAGCCTTCAGAAGCTGAGGCTTTCCCACATCCTTTTCTGTGGGTTCTGGAACAGAGGTACTAGGTTAGGATATTCTCTTAAAGATGTTGCATTAAATACAGCTGACTCCTTTCTCTACCTGACGAATCTTCCTGAATATTTGGAATTTTGCCTGTGTCTCTTCTTTTCAGTTGTTCCCACTTGAAGGATGTCCCAGGTTCTCATTGTAACCATATTTGGCCTTCTAACATATGAGCTTCCCACCTACTATCCAGTTTCTTGTTAGATAGGATTTTACATGATTGATCCTGCAATTGCTAATTCTTTATCTCCAGTGATACTTCAAGTAAAAGTCGTGAATGAGTTGAGCTTGCTATCTTATCCTAGTCTCTGTTCAAAATATAATGCGTGCACTGCTTAAGAAATAAGTGAAAGGAAAGTTTATATCATTCGACTTCTAGTCAGCCATTGAATTCCTGTTAATGGAATGAAACTGGCAAACATGAGTGCCAAGAGAAACTCGGAAAGGAAGATTACTGCAGGCTCTCCCCTGCAAAGGAGAGTAGAATGTGACTTTCTCAGCATACAGAATAGAGTCACATAGCAACCATTACCAGGTTTAATTTGATCATGCCCCTTATTCATGCTAAAGACTATAGACTAAACTCATAATCTCCCAAAGCTTTTCAGATCATCATATGGGAAAAAAAGATATGTTCTGGGATTCATTAACTATTATTCAAAAAAAGTTATCTCCTAAACCCTGAAGATTAGAAGAAAAGCCTATAGGCTTTAGTGGATGAGAACTTTGTTTTTCCCCATGTATCCTCACACATTTTGAATATAAATTTTGATTTTACAAACCATCATTTTATACTCAGCAGGAGGGAATAAATATAAATCATTATGAAACTGCACATCACTAAGTCTAAGAGTTCTTACACATCATATGTAGTACTTTTCTTACTTTGTCAGCTGGATGAGTTTGCCATTTTGGTAGTGGTGTTCTGTTGACATCTAAACTTTGAATTCTGACATGAGCTGAACATGGAGAAACTAAACACATGTCACACTCCTAAATTTGGACTCATTTAAAGTTCCCTTGCTCAGTGCTCTATTTTCTCAGATATGGTGTTGTTTATACTATATGATAACTGACTGAGAAGGACACTGGAAGGAAAGTTCAAATACCAATGAGCAATTGATATCCTAGTAAGATAACAGGTGTTTGAAGATGAACTCAGGGGCCCTGAAACCTGTTTGTTCCTCTTTCCAATGGGACTGAAATGAGTAACTCCCCATTTTCCACTTTGTATTGTCAGTTTGTCCTTTTTTTCGTTGTTTTTTTTTTTGTTTGTTTGTTTTTGTTTTACGAGACAGGGTTTGTCTGTTTTGGAGGCTGTCGGTCCAGCCTGGCCTCGAACTCACAGAGATCAGCCTGCCTCTGCCTCCCAAGTGCTGGGATTAAAGGCGTGCGCCACCAACGCCCGGCCAGTTTGTCTCTTTTAATTGACTTATTAAGGGCCGTTGCCCCAAAATCAACCAGAACCCCCCAGAAAAAGAAATCCATACTCTAATTTTTCTTTGTCACCAAATAGATGTAAGAAGGAGCTGGTACATGCTGAAGAGGAAAGACAGGAAAATATCCCTGTAAAAAATTTCTCCACATATCTCTGGGATTTTTCAATCTTTCCTGTCCATCTTAGGAAACTTTCTTTGAACCCTACAGTGTATGCTCCATTATTTCTGGGTCAACAAGTTTGTTACTAAATTTAAAATTGGTGTACAGGCTGTACCACAACAAGTTTGAGATTCCCTAGGAACCTACTGTTGGGAGCAGAAAAATCTGAGGCTCTAGTGGCTCACCGATGGAGGACTGGATAAAGATTTACACAGCAGGAGAGATGGAGCTGAGATGGATGGGTAGGGACCATGTGTGTGCTGGGTGCTTTGTGATGCACATCTTTTCCTTCTATCTAAACACTACCTTCATGTTCTAACCATGGAGAAGAACTCGAGAAGTCCTTGGATCTATCTGACAATCCATTCAGTAGAGCCATACTAAATAACAAATTTTCAGCCTACTTTCCACAACTGAAAACAGTAACAACAACAACACATAATTGGATGACAGTAAAAATGACACTAAAAAGATTCAACTGAGATTCTGGTCTCAGTTCCACACTTTTTAAATTTTCAAATGGCAATTAAGCAATATGGCTGTAACTCAAGTATATCTTGAGTCAGACAGCATCCAAACAA